GGCAACAATCTGGCAGCTAGATCAGCCTGTTGTCCTATTCAGTTCTCTCAGATTTGCACACACAATAGTAAAGAGGTTGTTGAGATGGGTTTTTTTGTTGTTTTGTTTGTTAAAAGTCTACTATGAATTTTCTAACTTAACTTGCCCTGTGTTGGACTTAAATCTTTTCCTTCCATGGAGTCAACTTTTGAACCTCTTGGAGCATGGTTTTCAAAGATTATGGTGGCAAGACCAGGGGAAAAAACTTCTTTCTTCGGACACGTCCTTGGGCCCTTACTCCTTATGGGCCCTTACTCAAGATGTTCAATCTGTGAGACAGCACGTCTGCAGCTGTGACCTTACTCTACAGTTACCAGTTTGGGCACCAAGAGCACATGCACTGCAGAAAGAGAGACTCATCTATACAATCTACTCAGACAACTCCAGTGATTAAAGCTTTAGTTAACTCAATGAAAAATCCCTGACAGAGTTTCATTATCTCAACTCAATTTAATTTGCAGTTCTCTCCTTCAATGGGAGCTGCCATCTTAGCATTTGCTACTTTAAACTACTTCAACTGTGACACCTATCAGCCTTAAATCCAACCAGGTGAAGTGCTATGATCATTAAAGCAACAAACTAAGCCAAACACAAACACTGCAGCACAATTGTGCATCAACACCTTGTGCTCATCTAGCTTTTAAATTCCCTGAGTTTGTCTTTAGTGTTTAGCCTCCCCAGAGCAGGGACCCTGCCTTACTCCAAGTTCTGCACAGCAAACTGTTAGGACTGTTACACACTTCAGTAAATGTAGGAGGAGAGGAACTGGGGTATAGTCTAACTGCAACTAACAGCATGAACTTAAAGGGGAAAGTTTGCAACATTTAATTAGGAATCTGTGGAAAGGTCTCTAAAGGAAACTCACGAAAGTCACTTCAATAGCTATACATTTTTAAAAACTAGACTGGACAAGATGCTAAGAAATTCTTAGAGGGACAGATAGATAATGAGTGGGGTTGGGTAGCCCAATAGGTCTTTACCATCTCCAATAGCTGTGTGTATGAATTTGCCAGATATTTTTATTTTAAGAACTGTTGCAAACAAGATGCCGTGGGTCTTTGGAGAATGAGTTTTCTGACAAACAGACTCGAGATCATCCGAGCTTTTCTAGACTATCCAGGCTATCTTCATAATCTGTGTGATTATGCACAGCTAAGAGAACTAAGAGCGTGACTAGACAGACACTATTTTCTCCATTGGTTCTATCTATCTGCTCGTTGTGAGGGGTAGATTAAAATGCAGAAGAATATCGCTATGCTGTTTCTACTCGAGAAAAGAAACTGGAAAACAGTGTTCCTTAAAGGTCCAGGATATTTGGCAACTCACAGGGAAAATTGGTGATACATCAGAAAAAGACAATGCTTTCATCTAAATTATGCCTGTGGAATCTCACCATGGCCCCTATGTAAATAGTACCACACACTTAAAAAAAAGGGAAAGTGTTAATATTCACATAGCTGAGAAGATGCAAAGCAAGTCTGGATTTAATCTAACCAGGGTTTAACAACACACAGCACTTAACACGGCATTTCCTCTTTTTGCTGCTTTATTCATTAATACATCATTAAAACAAACTTTTTCCTCCCTACCCCCTCCCTGCCCCCAAGCCAACCACATTGGTACAGTATTTGCCAAGGATACTATATATATATTACTTCAGTGTTTTTTATCCATTACAAATTATAGTACATTCTGAACTTTCCTACTAATATTGCCATACCACACTGAACGACTTAAAATAGATACCACTGGATGAAATTGGAGCGAAATCATACATCTTAAGGCTGATTATTTAAAACAGACTTTTTCGGTTCCTAAAATTCATTTAAGTTACATGATACAGTTTGAGGCGTGTTTTCATAGTGGAATCAACTCAAGAGAAAAGCATTAATTATAATCTAATTCTTCATCCTGCAAAGTCTGAGGGTTTATCTACACAAACACTTCGTTTGCAGCAAGCTGAGGTGTAAATCTAGAGTGCATTAGCCTACCGCACGGTCGTAAACCTGGTGGACCCTACTGGCACACTAAACGTTCCCTAGTGTGCTTTAATTTACTCCAATTCTAAAGTAAGTTATATCAAAGTGCACTAGGGAACTTTTAGTGCTAGTCAGTAGGCTCCACACAGACAATAGATTCATATCCCAGTTTGCCACAAACTAAGTGTTTGCGTAGACAAGCCCTTAGATTCTGTGCTTACATTTTATCAAGATTCTGAAGGAGATAGGGTCAGATTTTCAAAAGGCATTTAGGCACCTTAAAGTTGCAGAGAGGCACCTGGGTAGGATTTTCAATTGCAAAAATTTATTTTAATGGATTTAGGTGCCTAATCTGCTAACCTTTGAACATCCCACTAGGCACCTATCTGCATCTTTAGGCCCTTAAATACCTTTGTAAATCTGGCCCCAGGATTTCATAACTGCAATGATATATGACAAGACAGCCCAGGGGGGGAGAAACATATCAGTAAATGTGGTAATAAAAATGATGGAGAAAACATAAATATAGTAGTATGGTGAACTGATTTAGGTTTAGTTTTAATCCAACTAAAAGCTTTACCCAGTCTAACAGCCCTTCTCTTCACACGCATTAAGTAGAACCATAAATGCTGTCTTTTGTAAACACATTCTACTTCTGTGTTATTCCTCAATTTTCACTTAGCCAGCCACCTGGAAAACTCCATTGTTCTAAGGGTTAGAGACACTTTTTCTCATCTCTCTCATTAATTTTCATGGACAAATCCTTTCATGGGCTAATTCAAGTACAATACTTAACTTCTGACCACATTTTTACATACACACATGCACAGCAAGAGAGCACAGTTTTCAGATTAGTTATAGTGTTATATATTAGTTATATAGTATTTAGCAGTCTCTCTCTCAGGGTTAGTTTTCCAATTTTATTTAAAATTTAAACTCCTCATTCTGCAAACCCATATGCTGATATGTGTATTAAGGTTAATAAACCATAAAGTAGATTATTACTCTAAATTTCAAGGGCTTAATAATATGGTTTTACAAATTTAAGTATTTCAGCCTCATTTTTCCACCAAGTCAGTTTTCTGGATTTTTTGGATGATGACATCTCACTGCTGTTTCTTGTGATCCAAACAGCAGCAGAATAGCACATGAACATCACAGCACATACCTGGAAGTAACAAGCATCATGCCACACTAGAGTGAGAGTCCTCCCAGCGTTCACAACGCTTTTTGCAATGAGTGCAGTAACACTCACAGTCACTGCAGAAATTGGCAAAAAAAAGACTCCCTCCTTTCATGACCCTATTAAGGGGTAGGAAAGGATGGTCCTCTCTGCTTCTCTATGCACACTGTTCTCCCTGTTCCTCTGAAGGGGTTAAAGGTTGCAAGTGCTTCCCCAGGGGTCAACCCTTTGGTCCTATCGTTCTCTACTACCTTGGATAGGGTCTGTGGGCCTCTGTCCTGCCCTATAAGGTTTCGGCTCCCACTGTTTCATGTCCCACTCCTCCTTCCCCCAGTTCTGCTCTTCGCTCCATGGCCTGCGAAGTGGTCGGGTGTGGAACGAAGTGTTCCCTCTGGTCCTGATCGTCTCTCGTCGCTCAATGAACCTCCAACCATTTCATCTCCCACGTTCTCCCAACTCCTCCCTTCCACAGTCTGGTTCTGGTACTGCTCCCTCCACACAGAATCCCTGCGAGTCTCACTAATCTTTCCCTCGTCCAACAAGGGATAGAACAGTGGTGGAAGTGGGCAAGGAATCACCAACAGGGAACTGAAATAATCTGTCTTGACCTTACATCATAACAGTCCTGTGGGAAAGGTCTCCTGGGGTCCACTGCTCCTTTCCAACCTGATGCAGGTGTTTGAAAAGAAGCCACTGGTGGCACTAATTCCACTCCCTCCACAAGAGGAGAGAGGAACAGCAATCACAGGAGGCAAGAAAACTACCCATCCCTCCAAAGGGAAGAAGGAGACAATGAAGCAGACTGGGAACCAAATGTTTTCTCTCCCAGCCTTCCTCACCACCATGAATGGCAGAGTTGGTGGCCCTACTCATATATACACAGAAAAGCAGGAGAAGACAAGTTACTGAAGTTTACTTAATGTGAATTGAGCGGGGAAGGGGGGGGTGTAAAAGTGGTGGTAGTGGTGTACAAGTGCAACTGACATGAAGCAATGCGGATCATTGGGCCAACAGAGAGTTTCTTCTCTCTGAACAGCATACTTCTCTATATGTCCAGTTTAAGGGAAGAATGGGTCTTGAATCGATTGTTCAGCTATTGGCACATACTGTCTTGACTGGCCAGAGAGAGTGGTACAGCTATGTAAAGAGAGGCCACAGCCATATAATTTATCTGAATCCAAGAAACAAATTATTTCTAGAATGTCAGAGAAAGAAAAATGAATATATACTCATTTCTGCATGACAGCAAATCAAGCGAAAGACAATAAGACAGCAAGAGATATTTAGAGTGGAGGCATCATAGGCATTTTTCATTTTTGCCAGTTTAAATATCCTGATAATTTTACTGAAGTTTCCATATATCTTCCCCTTTACAATCTCCAGGGAACAATGGAGGACAAATATTATGAGCCTAGTAAAACAGTGTATATGTGAAGGGTTTAGGGCTGGTATTTTCCAGGTGACACCAAGGAGTTAAGACACCAAATTCCCATTGAAAAGTCAGATTTCGGTGCCTTACTCCTTCAGGTGACTTTTAAAGCACCAGCTATATTATATTGTATATACACATGAGACACATACTATTCTTAGTCCACAATTTAAAAAAAAATACAAATTAGGAAACAAGGTTAGCATGCCAAGTACCAAACGAAGAACTATTTAGCTTATTTATAGAAAAACGTCAAAAGTTGATTTCAGGACATAATGCTACAATTTATAAAATTGCCACCAAGCAATAAAATATAATAATTTTCAAAATAGTGTAGGTTACACATTACCCAAAATGCATACTCTCTTACCAGCCAATAATGATTCCTGTTCAACTTCTAATCCATGAAGCAACTGGATCAAGTGGACAGACACTTCAATCAGACCCAAATTCCTATTATATGGTTAAAAGAAAGAGGGAGTTTAATTTTAAACCTCCTAAGGGAAAAGAAAAAAAGAAAAAACTGTCTGGAGTTACATCGCAAAACATCACAGATTGATCCTAATCTCACTGAAGCCTCTCACCTGACTTCAGTGGATGCAGAATCAAGCACCACAGACAAAGTCATATTGGGGAGGACCTGGGTCTCTGACACTTGTAAACAAAACGTTAACTTTTCATTTCAGACTGTTCGCATAACCATACTTTCAGTTCTGAGCTAAAAGTTTGCAGTTTCATGTCCCTCACAAGGATTTGGGTTTTTATACCCACCCGATGCATGCTGGGTAGATGTCAGTGCAGCAGGTGCATATTTGGGATGGAGTGGGGCTCAGTATTGTTAGAGATGCTGTCTTTCAGATCAGTCTGTTGTGTTAATCCCTGGAACCTCTCCAGGTGGATATTAGAGATTTGTATTACTTTTCAAACACATTAAGGGATAACCCCAGTTCCATGGCTGACACTTCCTCATTCAATAAGTTCTAAGGATATCACAGGCTATGTGTGAACTGGTTTCAATGCACAATAGCTACTTCATTTGTCTATAGTCACTGCACTACCACTAAAACAATAGGGAGTTATTATTTGTATTACCTAGGATTACTATTTGTAGCACCTCGGATCCCTAATAATTATGGAGCAGGACACCATTGGGCTAGATGCAGTTCAAAGAAAAGGCACCGTATAAATTCACATTTTATCTTTAAAGAATGAATTGCTTGCACTATCATTATTTTTGTTGTAATTTACCTTTATATGGAATGTACAATTAATGTTTTTGTATAGTCATATGCTACATTATATCTTTTCCCATTCTACTCATAGGTCCCAACCCAAAGGTCATTCCTGAACGAGACTGACCAGCCCACTGTGTCCTCAACTCCCCCCTTAAAAACAAACCCGGCTACACTATACACCATTGGCTAAAAGGAAAGCAGTAAAAGCTCATCTGACGGTGTACCCCTTCCCTTCTGAACCACCAGGGACAACTACCTTTGCAGTCCACCACTTGTACACCTCAATGCTCTGAATAGTACCATAAAGCATTACCATCGGAACAGCTTACTTATCATGTGTCATATAAAATGATGCTTACTGAAACCAGATTCAGTCTTTTCCCTCTTTGAGCTTCAAAAATCCAGATTTGTTAGAATTTAGTTGGGCATTTCTATAATTAAATGGAAATATTTTCATAAAGTAAAACTTCAGATAGTTTAAGTAGTTATGAAATATGCCATCAATGCCCCAGTATATTATGCACTACCATTAACTATCAGGGTTTTAAAATACCAGACAAAAATGGCTCAAATCAAATTAAGAACCAAGGGGTTAATTCATTAGGAAATATTCAAAACCATGGAATAAGGGCAAGGAAAATTCCAGGTGGTCATGGATCCTAACTCTAGTTCAGAGGGAGGAATGGAAGACCACCAGCTCAGAGCTTGCCAGAAAAGACAATTAGAGTCAAAGTATTCAAACAGTTCCATAATCAGAAGTTACCCTGGAGGCAGAGAACTTGTGCCAGTAAGCTCTCCACCTCCCATGGAGCACACCACTCTCTTCAGTGAGCAGTGCAAACAGGAATATTTAAGAATCTGTAAATTTAGCTCCAAGCTGAATATTTTTTTTTAAATGTTGTCATTTCTGCATATGTTTTCAGTGACAACTTGGGCCCCTTTAAACTAGGTTTTAAAGCAAAGAGGAGTCCATATGTATGAAACATGAGTTTCTTTGCAGTGAGCCAAGTGAACAAAATGACTTAGGAAGAATGAAGTGACAGCCTCCAGATACTTTCATCCAAGGCTCTTATTTGTTTCAAACCCTTAGAATTCCTTCCTGAAAATCCTTAGTTAAGTATTAGCCTGATTTTAAATACCATCAAAAAGGTTTAAATTTCTAAACCCCGCATATTGCAAACTTGACACCAAATTCCGCTGATCATTTTCCCTCCATCCACAATTCCTGAACATTTAATCCTGAACAAACTGTGCCTTTATGGCAATTAAAAAAATCACTATGGGCCACACTGTGGCCCATCCCAAGTGTCTCCCAGGATATTTAAGGAGCAGAAGGCTACGCACACTGCCCGTGTACATGGGGATTGTGGCAAAGCCAAAATAGACCTCTTCGAATAATCCCTACTATGCAAAAGGTGCCTTTACATATGTAGCCAAGCTACAGCAAGTTTGGCTATTAGAATTCAGTTTCTTGTCAAAATGCATCAACTCGCATTAATTGGCTGCTGAGGCTATCATCAGTCTGGCACAGAGATGCAACCATTGGAGGCAACATCTTTTTTCTTACTCACTGAATAACAGACTCAATAATTAACTCCTACACGGACACTAAACATAACTTCATAGCTAGTCAATGGTCCTCTTAGGTGTACACATCATAGGAGACACCATCAGCCCTGGCAGCATTTTGAGTAGAACTGAACAAATAATGGATTTTTTGGTTCAAGGGAGGAAGAGCCAACAAAAAATATCCAGTTCAATTTGAACCAAACCCATTTTTTAATTTTTGTTGTCAAATCAAGGACTCGACAAAATTTCATTTGGAATCAACCCCATTTTTTCAGATTGACTTGAAATGATTGAGTTTTTCCAGTGTTTTTCACCCTGTTTTGTGAAGGATGAAAAAGACGTAGCTTTTCCCAATCTAGGTTGAGGTATGCTGACAAGAAGAAACTTGCACGGTCATTGCTATTCTTGTTCCAGGGATACAGGGAATACTTCATTTCTAAGTGCTGCTAACTGACATCATCAACCTGTACTGAAATTCATTGTAAAAACATTTTTTTAAAAACACAACTTTGAGTTTGGACTCCCAAACTGCATTTCTATAACTCATAGTAAATTTACAGAAAATATATACTACCACTTTCCTCGCTTTTAAAATATGCCATCACACAACTGTGTGCTTCTTATGTTTACACCGCTACCTCAATATAACGCGACCCGATAACACGAATTCGGATATAACGCGGTAAAGCAGTGCTCCGGGGGGGGCGGGGCTGCGTACTCAGGTGGATCAAAGCAAGTTCAATATAACGTGGTTTCACCTATAACGCGGTAAGATTTTTTGGCTCCCAAAGACAGCGTTATATCGAGGTAGAGGTGTACTTTACTCCTGGGGGAATTCTGCACCAAAAAATTTAAAATCTACATACAATATTTTAAAATTCTGCATATTTTGTCAAAATAACACCATATAATCATACCAGTTTCAATTATTTTGGTAATTCATTTCAAAATACCTGTCAGCAAGTATGTATGTAACAATACAAACAACAAAAAAGATTCAGGAAATGTTTTTTTGACAATCAGATTCCTACTAGGCATATTAATACAGAACTTTGAGTAATAATCAATTTAAACTACAATACAGAACCATATTTCCCGCACCCCTCAGAAGCAATGCAAAGGCTTGGGACAGTCAGGGGTAACAGAGGAGCTGAGGGAGAGGAAACTAATTGCTGGGACGAAGCCTGGGTGTAAACTTGGAGGGTTGTTGGGTATGGGTCGGAAAAGTATGGAACAGGGGTTTTTTTGGGGGTGGGGGAGGGATTTTTAGGGAGCTTCCCCCATTCAGACCCTGCCTGACCCCTAGCCTCTCCCATTCAGTCAGGCACATCTGCCCCTGTCCCCATGTGTCCCTGCACGCCTTGTCCAGGTGTCCCTCCATCCCAGACACCCATTCCCTCCCATCCCCATATGTCCCGGCACCCTTCCCCCGTCTCCATGTAGCCCTACACCCCCTTAGCCAGCCCCCTCCCCCATCTCCATGTGTCCTTGCACTCCCTCCCCTCTGTCCCCATGTGTCTCTGTGCCCCACTCAGTCATCCCTTCTCCCACATAGCCCTGCACCCCCTCCCCGTGTTCATGTGTTCCTGTACCCCCTCATCCAGTCCCTTCCCCTAATCTCCATGTGCCCCTCCCCTCTGTCCCCATGTCTCTGTGCCCCCCTCTCAGCCATCCACCTTACCCCATGTAGCCCTGCACCCTCTCCCTGTGCCGGTGTCCTTACACTCCCTCAGCCAGCCCCCTCCCCTCATCTTCATGTATCCCTGCACCCCGTCCCCATGTGTCTCTATGCCCCCATTCAGCCACCCCCATGTGGCCCTACACCCCCTTTCCTGTCTCCATGTCACCCTGCATCTCCCTCCCCCCGTGGCCCTGCACCTCCAATCCCATTCAGCCCCCACCCCAGTCTGTCCTCCCCCACTAGCCCTTATGAGCCCATCTATGATCCTCCAGCATCCCCATGCTATCTGTCTCCCGACCTGGCCCGACACGCACTGTGAAGAAGGCACTGCAGGCTCTCTCTCTTCTCTCGTAGCTGGGGCTAGCCAGGAGCAGCTGCTCTGTTCTAGCACCACAGCGCCCTCTGGTGGGCAAAAGGCAGAACTGCAGCAACTTTCCAGCAGAAGCTATTTTCTGCACACCAAAAAATAAATAAATAAATATATATATATATGCGCAGCACATAAATTCTGTGCATGCGCAATGGCGCACAATTCCTCCAGGACTAATAGTTCATCTGTGCAACTATATTCATTTATTCAGGCCCCTAGCAAATAGACTGTAATTATGGAAAGTGTGTGTTAGATGATATGTTTTTTATAAAACTTCTAAATCTTCATTTTTAAATACACAAACTTTTTAAATTACTTTAAATAAATATCGAAGATTTAACTCTAAGAATCTGGAAAATATTTACAAACATGACTAATAATTTCACCTAAATTTTTATGTTTCAGAATTTTAGATGCATTTGTGCTTAATTGTTGTGGTGGGAAATAAGGCAACAACCCTTTAAACATTTTGTTGAGTGAAAAGAAGACTACAGTAGTTTGAGAATGTCTGAATAGTTTGCTGTCATAGGATGCAACCACAAAATATTATACAACGCTCATTTTGGATTCTAAGTAAACACTACAGCCTGAAACATTTAAAATGAGGAAGCAGCAATACAGAACATATTTAAACAATCATTTATTGCTATTACCAGGAAATTCCATTTACAGCCTTTTTCAGTTATGCAAGTCTTTAAAAAAAAAATTATCAGACGCAACATCCTCATCTAAACACTATCACAGTATTTATGGAGTTCTGTTATTTAACTTCATCTATTCTGCCCCAATATAGGACAATTGCTATCTCGTATAGAATACTATATCTCAGCAATTCAGTAAAGTCAGATTTGAAAAGTCCCAGAAAGAGTAATTTTTGAGATTTTGAACACCAGTTTCACATAATCCAGCAACCTTGATATAGCTATTTTCTGGCTAGCTTTTACGGTTTAACTAGCTAAATTTTTAACAGCATTTGAAAATGAGAAGTACTGTAAGAGCAAAGTATTACCGGCTCTTTAACATTTATTTTTACAGTTTTTTGCAAATCCAGAGTGGATGACTGACAATCTAAGAAATTAAAACTAAATTCTGCTTGAAATACACCCATGCAACCTGAAATAAATGGAGATGAGACTACATAATTGAGGGCAGAATCCAGAACTTCACATCCATTAATATTAGACTAACAGTCCACATTTGTGGAAGTGTACAATTTATTCCAGATAGCACACACAAATATTGAATGTATTTTGTCATACTCAAGATGTAAACCTACATGTATTAAAAAAAACATTAAATCATCCTTCATTTCAAAAGTCAGCTAAAGTTGCTGACTTCTAAGAATATATTCCCTATCATATCATTTACAAAACCAATCCACTTGGAAGCTAAAAAATTAAAGTTAACATCATAAATATTATACTGATCACAAAATCAACTTCCATTATTCAGAGGATAAAGAAATGAATATTTTCATCACAATCCAGCAACCTTAACTCTGACATATGAATTTTTATAATTATTTTAATCTAAATATTTTCTTAAAGAATTCTGTTAAGTGGGAAATATCAGTTAATATACTTACAAGTCAAATAAGAACACAACAGGGTAAAATAAAAGATAAAGCACCAAAACAATTTAAACTCTCTAAAATTTGTGTATGTTAATAAGGATCATAACTATACCTCATAACATCTTGATTCTTGGCACACCGAACACAGGCATTCCGTAGACATCTGAAACATTCTGCTATAAGCAGCAGACATGTGTCTAGAGTTATCAGTTCCATGGAATCCTTGCAGGCCAATTCCATTTCACATGAGGCTTTAGTCAAGATTTTCAGGAGACTCTGGAACATACTTTCTTCTGCCATTTCTCTGAAATAAAGTATAACTGCAGTGAGTAAAGGAGGATTATAAATAGGGTGGGGAAATATTGGTTAGACAAGAAAATCTCTCATGAAGCTTATTATTCAAGTCATGTTCATTTAAAATTTAACATTGAAGAGTTGACATAATACTGTAATATATTTCTGCAATAAGAAAACTTAACCGTCATGACATACCAAAGCTTTGAGTAGAGGGGACTCACTATTAAGCGTTAGAAAAATCCAAAAGGCCCATACTAATTTTTTAAGTTATATAAAGTGAACTCTCTATTCCTGTAAAACCTTGCCCTCCCCAGAAATCAAGGGCCTTATTTTAAGATATGCCAAACATGTACTTAGCAGAGTTAAAATAATTCTGCATTCCAGTTCATCATGAGGACTAAAAAAAAAACCACAACAACCTTGTGCATCGTGGAAAATACAAATTTTAGTCAGCACAGTGTAGAAGCCTTCATAAGTCTTAAGTGACACACACCTCTCACTATCCTTTCAACATAGCAAACAGCAATTACTGAGTACAGGTCATATACTGATTTAGTTTTCATGGAACTCTAAGAGACAACTCTCAGACCAAAAGCAGTCTAAGTCATCCTAACCACATACACTATTACTATATACACAAAAGATGCATAAGATCATTTAGGAACATAAGAATTAGGAATCAGCATACTGACTCAGACCAACTGTGTCCAGCACCAGATGTTTTAGAGCAGTGGCTTTCAACCTTTTTTCATTTGTGCACCCCTAAAAATTTTCAAATGGAGGTGCAGACCTCTTTGGAAGTCTTAGACATAGCCTGCAGACCTCCAGGGGTCTGCTGACCACAGGTTGAAAACCACTGCTTTAGAGGAAGGAACAAGAAACTACATAATAAAATAACCTGCCCAGAAAGAAGTTTCTCTAGTCCCAGAAAGTTAGTGGAAAGTTTATATCCTGAAACATGAAGATCTAGATCCCTGGTAATCCATTAAATGTTTAAAAGTGTTTAAATCTTACTAAGCCGTTGGTGTACATACCCTGTAACAGTGAATTCCACCAGTTATTATCCTTTTTTGTAAATATTCACTTTCTTTTACCAGTTTTAATTTATTGCCTTTCAACATCAATGGATGATCCCTGGCCCTGATATCTTCTGTGGTAACTTTAAGTGTGCATTCCCTGGTTTCTTCCTCCCAAATGTGAATTCAAGGATTTGAACTCTCACGTTCAAGAAGGGCACAAGGAAAACAGAGCACCATTGTGTGGTTGCAACCTTAACTCCACGTTTTCAAAAGCTTTCCATTAACTCCAATGGGCTTTGAATCAGGCCTATACTGATGAAACCAAGTTCTATAAGGGGCTAATACTGTACTTTCACGTAAAGAGCAAAGGAAAAGCATAATCTCAAAAAGTGTAGTGGTTAAGACATTGGAATGGAGCTCAGGGATCTGGGCTCAATTCCCAACCTCTTCCACAGACCTCCTATGTGAGTGAATGCAAGTCACAATCTCTCTACCTCAATTCCTCAACTCTAAAATGGGAATATTTTTTCTTCCCACCTTTTGTCTTTATTTAGTTTGTAAACTCTCCAATGCAAGATCTATTGTACTCTGTGCACGTGCAATGCACAGCACAACGGAGCTCCTATCTCAGTTGGGGCCTCTATGCATTACTGTAATGATTAATATGGAGCAAGGGACTTCACACGATGAGGAGAGCGATGGATGGAAGAGGCAGCTAGTTCAAGATTGACTACACCAACCTGCACTCCTGGGAATGCAAAGGGAGAAAAAATTACCTTGGTAAGCTAGACAAAGTAACTGCTAGAACAGGCGAAAAACTATGCAACTCTTGAGAATATCTTGCCATGATGTGGGGTCTAAAAAAAAAAGTTAGAAATTGTAATTATATGAGTGGAGGTTTCCTCCTATGTACAGGCCATTCCACTCTCACAAAGTTAAAGCAGATGAAGAGAATTGATGCTAAAATGTTATGCTGGAGCTTACACGCACATGACTCACAAAAGCAGCAAGCATAAATCTCCAGGTCGTCTGTCACACACAGATGTGTGAAAAGCTTCCAGAATATAGCTGCTGGCATATTTATTTATTTATTCAAAATTTATGTTTAGAAAGGGGATGAATGTGACAGATTAAAGCCAGTCAGTAATTCATATTTGATACATTATGAATTCTGGTGAAACTCTGCTACACAAGAAAGTGCAGCATGGTGTCACTTTAAGAACAGAGAATTTAACTCAATCCAACACCGCCAGCCAGATGCAGCTGACATGGAAAACCAGAATCCAGCCACTTTGACCCTTAGATGGATTTAAGGTGCACACAAGATCAAAGGAGCATTTAAATGCTACATCTTGAGAGAGGCAGTAGCAAAATACCTTCTGAGCTAAATACTGGGCCAAAAGGAGATAAAAATGGGGAAGAAATGTTAATCAACACAGGCGACAATAATCATGGTACATAAAGAGATTATGTTTCATTAATGTAATGCTTGACCATTTTTGGTGTAAGTATGACAGAATTCATTATCCCTGTCATACTTACACCAAAAATGGTCATGTCCCCATAAACCAAACCATCAATAAAAAAGTCACTCAATCAGTGTTAATAAGTTGAAGTACAGATAGCTGCAAAATAAAATATTTTATTTTACAATACAGTCAGTGCTATACATCTAGATGAATAACCTGTTCACAATCACTTTCTTTTGCGATCTTATATTTTGGTTGCCAGTTACTTTTGTTAATTGAGTTTTCAGATGTAACAACAAACAAACTAGTAACTAAGGGATATAAAACTGTGCACAATTTGCCCCTCAGTCATGAGAAAAGATAGGAAGGAAAGTGTTTCACTTGATCCACAAGAAGTTATTTTGTTTGGTTTTAAAATATGAAAAAAAAACCATGTATTTGACTAAGGCCTCCCACTGACAAGGACATGTGTTGCAACTACTGCCATTTACACACACAAAAATCCAGGAGATTATGCGATTTGGAGACTGATGTTCCACAGAATCTATAAATAAATACCTCCACACAAACATAGGAACGTTTTTCCAAACACTGAAGAGACAGTGTCTGGTAAAGGAGCACCCAACTGTATTCAATCCCACGTGTGACAGAGTCACATTTGCTCTGTTCAGTCAAGATGCCATACAGAGCCATTAACAGGGCAAGTGTTTAAGAGCAGTACACCAATTAAGTTACGCAAAAAATAAAAAACTTTCAGAGTCTGTTAGCAATTCCCTTTATTTTTACCTATGCCATGAGTTGGAATACCATGGAATACAATGTTTGGTAAATTTTCCTGAAGCTAATTTGAGCCACCCCTTTATAGTATACAATGGTCAATTATTTTAAATTGGTAAAAGACAAGCAAAAGTTCTAAGTACAGATTTTTGGTTTTGTTTTTGTTGTTTTTTTAAAGTGTACTCTAGCTGGTTGTATTTCAACAGTTACAAAAGGCTTTTCAATACAAATATAAAGGCTTATTCTGTTTGGCAAACTGCAGCTGCGCAGCATAGGAATTGTTCAGAAAGCCATTTTAACTGTTCACTGGATCATGAAATTCAAGCTATTGCGATAGCCTATATTATAAACAGAAATAAGAAGTTTTGATTAAAAGGATAATCTAAAAAATAAGAATTTTGTTCAGAAAAAGGTAGCACATCATGATTTTTTATAATATATTCTAGTAAAATATGAAGATCTGATTATTCTGCCAGTTTCCAACAAGCTATTTTAAATGCCAATATTTATAGGTTTTTCTATGTTGCTCCTCACTGTAGAATCTGAGCACCTGCCACACATTAATGGATTTATCTTCCCACTATTAACAAAATATGGAAGTTCATTCCATGTATGTGACAGTGAAGCACAAAGAGATAAATTAGTTTTATGGGTGCGTGCCAGTTCCAAAAGAAGAAAAAAAATACCATAAACGATGTGTCCAAGGTCACACAACAAGTCTGCAACAGATCCAAGTACAGAACCCAGATGTGGTTCCCAGTATAGGGCTTTACAATAACACCATCATTCCTCTCAAAGCAGTGCTCTTTCCACCGATTAAAAAGTATTTATGTGAAAATATTGCTAACCAAAGATACAAGTAACTATGTGCATAATCATTTTAAACAGAATGGGATGGTTGGGCAGGCTTAAATCAATTGTAAGAAGCCTGTTAAGAATAGTTTCTGCTACTACACTTGCCCCTAAGCCCCCCAGTCAACGTTTATGGGTTTACAATTTATTTATTTTTTTGGTGAGTGGGGTAAACTAAAGTTTTTCCTCTTTCCTGTTGCCATGTGAAAGGCCCACAAACATACAGGTAAAACAGTGACATTGACTATACTCAAAATGCTGTGGAATGTACAAAGTAAATGTGAAGAAAAATATTTTCCTGTAATCTGTTATTAAATATTTGTATTACCATAGCACCTAGGAGCCCTAGTTATGGACCAGGATCTCATTGTGTGTGGTGCTGTACAAACAGAACAAAGAAATGGTCCCTGCCCCAAAGAGCTTAATTTTTGATGCTACTTGTAATATTAGTAATTAAAAACTTCAGGCAGAAGTGTGATTTAAATTGCCATGTTCCTTTAAGCATCACCAAAACTTCATGCATTTCTGGTAAACCTATTACTTCAATAAATAAGAAAGTCACATTAAATTTTCTATATAGAGGTTCCTGCTCTCCCAGTCTTAGGTTCGCCCCCTTTTACGTGGAAGAATTTCTGTATTAAATTAACTTGTTCTTTTGCCTTTGTTATTGTGAGATGATGTCTACACCGTGCTCTGAAGTGTCTAGTTTGGGCTCATTCTGCTTTGCTCCAGTAAGTGTATCCATAGTCAAGAACACTCCACTGATAAAGGGCTACTCACTGAGGCCTGGTCTACACTAACCCCCCAAGTCGAAGTAAGGTACGCAACTTCAGCTACGTGAATAACGTAGCTGAAGTCAACATACCTTACTTCGAACTTACCGCGGTTCAGACGCGGTCCACACGCGGCACGCAGGCTCCCCGTCGACTCCGCGGTACTCCTCTCGTTGAGCTGGAGTACCGCAGTCGACGGCGAGCACTTCCTGGTTCGATTTATCGCGTCCAGACCAGACGCGATAAATCGAACCAGGAAGTTCGATTTCCAGCTGCCGAACTAGCAGCTAAGTATAGTCCAGCCCTGAGTGTGACCATGTTACTACCTCTTGGGAGGTGGATTACCTACGCCGACGGGAAAACCCATCCTGAAGCACTACAGTGGCGCAGCTGCACTGCTGTAGCATTTGAAGTGTATACATATCCTTAGATGCACAGCTTGGCTACGTTTTCTGTCTGAAACACATTTCTAGCGAAAAATGCAGATTTGCTGACAATGACACATTTTGTGAATTTGAGTTAGTTTTGCCAAATTGTTCATTTAGTGAAAAAAACAAAGAACGTACAAAAAAACCCCAAAACATTTTGTTTTGACATTTTCTAAATGTTTTGATTTTTTTAGTTCAATGACTTTTTCTAAATCTCCTTCAATTTTATCTTAAAAATTCAAAACCATTTAAAAATGCTCAAAAATTCAAAATGAAACGCTTTGTTTGACCCAAAATGATTGTGTTTCACAGTTTTTCAGAACCGCCATCAAACCAAACAATCTGTTATTTGTCCAGCTCTACTTAGATAAGTTCCCAAACAGCAGTATTTAAACACATGCACACACACAGGCAAATGAGACAAATTGTGAAAGTTGCCCATAGTCACACAAAGCAGCTGTGACGCAGCAGGGAATCAACCCTGCATCTTAAGCCCTGTTTCAGTGTCCTACGCATAAGACCAGATAAAAAACTAAGGAAGGATTTAACTAGCAATATTAGGTTTTGAAAAGGTTTAAAAAAAAAAAAAAAACATAAATTGTAGCATGTTAACACTTTGAACTGAGGACAAAATTCCCAGCTCACTAGTTCTGATCACACTAGCACACTAAAAATAGTGTGTAGCCACTGTGACGTGAATGGGCAGGACTAGCTAACCTAACTATTTCTAGTTTGCTAGCTCACATCAAGCTAGCATGCGTATGTTTCCTCCACTTTGGAAGTACACCCCCAGCTCAAAACATAGCCATATCCTAGGTTAGGGGAAGTGGAATTTGAACATATAAGCTCAAGAAAATGAATTTAAAAAATAACATGTAGATATGTTAGATTTTTAACACAAACATACGAATAACCTACTTTTTTTATCTTCAACATATGAGTTACAGGATTAGGGGGGACACTAGTTTGTAACTGGATCCACATGGGTCAACCCTTGCACCCAAACAGAGCCACTGAAGCCAATGCAGCTCTACATCAGTGCAAGAACCTGCTCATATGGATCCCATTACATGAAAACTAAAATAAAAATAATCACAATTCTGTCTGAATTTTCTTTAACTACATGCCTTGTGTAACATTTAAGATAATAATAAAATGAAGAGATGTCTTTTTTCCATTTGTTTAATTTCTACAAAAGTTGTCAATTTCACTTTCTAATCTTTCTTTGCACAGGCACACCATCATTCTGGATTGTAACAAGCATGCTCTTGCCACCCACTCAAAGGCCTTGTCTACATTTGGATTTTAGCTACTAATGTTGCAGCACTGATGCAAACCACTAGCACGGACACAATTTGCACTGCTGCAGTTTACCCCAGCTTCACACCTGTGCTGCTCTGTGCTCTGGTGTAAGCTGTGTCTACAGTAGTGGTCTGCACCAGTGGCTAAAACCCCACCTAGACAAGGCCTAATAGTAATGAAGGTAGCCCTTGGAGAGAAAGATGTGGTTGCTACTGTCTCCCTGAACCAGAGACCATGCAGGGAACAGAGACAAGTGGAGACAGAGAAGCATACTCTCCCTCACTCCCAGGATCCATGCACAGAGCAGAGAGTACAGGTGCGGGAAGCTATATTTCCCTTACCTATCAGACCCCAAACCATGTGTGATGGCTCGCAGGCCACACGTCTGCTTCATTAGCAAGGGGCCTAGCAGAAGAAGAGAAGCCCATCTTCATTTCACAGATCATTCCAAGTGACCAGGAAACACATTACTGCTGTAGAGCATTAGAGAAGATAGGGTTGCAAGAGCACCTGCAAGGGATCACCAGTATATGTCTGGTCCTGTTTTCCTCAGACCCACTCAGTGACCCACCCAGACGCTGGCAGGAAAGCAAAGCACAATGAAGATAAGAGTTTAAGAACTACAACAACAGCTGTTGTGAGCTTTATAGCCTGACATGCAGACTTGGTTTTTAAGTTACATGATTTCAAAGCACCCCCTTCAATGGGGAGCCAGAAAGCCCTGAAACCAGACATCACTGCACAGGTGACAGGATTATCTCTAGTCTGTGGCTACCTGGAGAGGGCGGGAGGATTTAAACTAATCTTGAAAATCAGGCACAGACCCCTCTGCCTCCAGTTACAGTCTCACCAGTACTCCCAGTCCCCCCACACACAGACAGCTCCGACACTGCACTGGCCCAACATCTGCCCCAGCCCCACACACCCCTGTGGCCAGGAACAGACCAGCTCCCCGCATCCAGAGCAACACACACACACACACACCAGGCACACCCTCGTACACGTACACACACAGCCCCTCCCCGCCCCCCAGTACATGTACACACACACCCCATAGCCC